GGGATCATTTCGTACACAACTTCTTCTGGGTCACCCGATGCCGGCTTATTTGCAGCAGAAACTTCAGCATTGCGACCACGACATGTTGTGACGTAGGCTGGATTGTCTTCTGTCTTCACATCAGTATTGGCCTCATGAGAAGGTCTCTTTTTATTCCAACTCACTGATGCGTAGGCAGGATTTTCTTCTGTCGCTATATTTTTAGCCTTTGGGGTAGATCTGGACCAGAATATGAATCATTTACACATTCTCCGTATACTTCCGTACATACCTTTCAGTTCTAACTTTGACGCATGCAGCGATGGTTCCAGCAGTCACCGCTATTATTCCAAACACTGCTAAGACGCCTCCAACCGCCAGTATAGTGGATTGAGCCTGGCTCTCTGTATCAGGAACTGTGCTATCAGGGCCTACCGCCTTGGATGATGCTACTGTAGACGAAGCTGTCTCATAAAGTCCAGTCTTGGGCGCCAATTCTGTCTTTGAAGTTGTGTTTGCTATTTCTATATGAGGCGATGTTGTCTCATATGGCACAATCCCGGGCACTGGTGTCAGCTTGCTAACATTGCTTGCTGCAGAAGAGAATGCAACATAGTCTCAGAGGGTTCACATGCAAAAACAGGTGTTTACTTGGCTTTCCAGCTGTCAGTGATGTCACCGTTGTGTCGTGGACCACAGCTGAAAAACAAAGTGGATTGAACACACTATGATTATTGCAACTCTATCTCACATGGCCTGCTGTCAATGGTAGAGACAACCACAGATGAACTTTGTCCAGGGCCAGCACTGGTATAGGCCCTCACTGAGAGATTGTACTCTGTCCCCATCTCCAGGTCTCCTGTAGTGAAACTGGTAGCCAGGTGGGTGGTGTTGTGTCTGGTGTGGTGGGGCTGGGAGGAGTCTGTTGGTCTGTAGGACACCTCGTAGGCAACGAGGACTCCATTCGGTCTCAGAGGTGGGCTCCACGTGAGGGATACCCTCTCATTAGTGCCATTTGATGGAGACAGTTTGAGACCCACCACTGCACCAGGAACTATGGGATGGATCATTGACCTTCAATGTTAGTTACTAGCATACTGTAGTCATGCACAAGAAAGAGTATAGTTATGTCTAAATGCATCCCAGGTATATGGGCAGGCTTTCTAACAATAAAGATTGAGAGTGAGGGAGAAATTGGGACGAAGTAGCGCAATAAGTCTGATGTCAAGTAAATCATCAGTACCCTTATAAGACCTATGTGTTGCAGCATTGCCATGTCAGTCTATTGTCACCTTTGTTTGCAATTACACCCCCTTCCTCTATGCCCAGTTGTTTCCAATTAACTGTGCAAGACTGGAACGACAATTAATTGATGGCCAGGCCACAAGTTTTTGCAAGGTTTACCTTACAAGGAGGAGTCAACCTTAGAGTTGAATTACACAACTAACGAAAATAGCAGGGGTTTACTCATTTATCGAGGCGTGTATATGTAGCTATGGTGTGTACTATAGAGCCATGGGTATGCACACACTTGTTCCCGATGTCACCCCATGCCTCAAATACAGGAGTAAACTCCTGCTATTTTCATAATGGTCAAGACTTCATTGTAAGGCAAGCCCTGTAAAACTTCATTAGCAGGGGTTTACTCACTGCAACATCTGAGGCTTGTATAATTCTTTACTCATGTACCTAAGGTTTGTGAATTTTGAAGCCAGGAACAAGTGTTTTAGACTCCATACGCCAGAGGTACCAGTGCCTGTTAGTGGCCTTGCAGTAAGTCTGACCATGGTTGTGAGCAGATGGTGCTGTATAAGTCTCTCGACCACAAGGTTATGATATACAGGTTAGTGAATCCTGTACGACCCACTCTGAATCAGGGCTCCTGAATGCTTCCTCTCCAGCAGCCTATTTAAAGCCCTCGTCTGAGAAGCTTTCTCACTTCCAAATCCACCGACTCTCTACGGTACACCACTTGGTGTAAAGACGCCCTCCACACCGATTTACAGGATCTTCTTCAGTTTGTGCAGGCTTGGATTTCTCTTCTGTCATGGCTCTGATGATGAAAGCTAGTCTGCTGCTGGCTGCGCTGGTGCTGTGCTGCCGTGCTTCTTTCATCCCTGAACTGCAGCAAGGTACAGTACCAGAAGGAGAGCCACTACCAGAGCCAGAACCACAGCCTGAACCAGAACCGGGGTCTCCTATCAACAAGCCACCAGGTGTGTGTGTGGAACTACTATTCAACTCTGTGTGAAAACAGTTTCTTGAAGGTGCATCTCAGCAGATATTTTTTCAGTTACTGCAGGGTCCTGTCCAAAGGATGTCCGTCGAGTGGAGTGTCTGATGAATCCCTGTCTGCTACTCAGTTGTCCCAGCTGTGAGGAAAGCCCAGTGCGTGGTCGACTCTTGTGGGATGTGCCGACCTCGCTGGATCTACTGTGGCAAGGAAGTCACCAACGACTGTCTTGGTGAGTCTAAGCAGAATAAATCTGTGACCTAGTCAGTTCTCCAACTGTGTCTGAATGCTTAGTTAGGTTCAGTCTGTTCTCCACTGTGTCCATTTCCTTTCCAGAGTCCCTGATGGCCTGTTCTGATGGATCAGTTCCCCACAAGTGTCTCGTGGATCCCTGTCTCACTGCCAGATGTCCAGCTGTGGAGGGAGCTGTCTGTGTGGCTGACTACTGCGGCGGCTGCAGAGACAGATGGATGCTCGGTGACATGGAGGTCACCAAGAAATGTCACCAGGGTCTTGCAAGTGCTGCTTGGAATGGTCTGTTAACACTTGTGTATTTAAAGTCCTTGATTCTGCATTGTAGGGCCACTGAGCTACAGACTGGATGCTGCAGCCAGCTTTCAGCAGAGTGCGGCCCCCTCTTTTGACTTTTGTTGCATTTTCAGCTGCCTTTCTCCTTATGCAGACTGGTGTCAGCCTGCTGTTTGCCATATCCCAGGGGCCAGTTGTCGCTTTAACAAAGATAGATATCGGTGGTGGACGCCTTATGGTGAGGACGTCACTCGATGGTGCTGGTGAGGAAGTCACTCAGCTGTGATCAAGCACTTCATGCCACTTTCTTTGTCTCTTTATTTATCCAGATTACCTGGGTTTTGGACTGACCTGATTGCAAGCCCTGCTTCGGACTGATTTATAAAGACTTAGAGTTTGATTTCTTGTAGCTAGTTTTGTGCAGTAGTTCTATTATGAATATCAGTTAAGACATAAATATGGTGAAAATGCTAGCAGAAACGTTTGCATGGCGCAAGATACCACAAGAGTGCTGAATTTATAAAGACTCTGAGTTTTGATTCCTTGTAGCTAGAGTTTCCTGTGCAGTACTTGTGAAAATGCTAGCGGAAAGCATGGCACCAGTACCACAAGAGTGCTGAATCATAAGAAAAGGAAGTCGTCTAGCTGTACTGAACTCCATTATGATTCCCACGTTTTTCTAAGGTATCTGTATCTTTTGTGTAGTTATTAGCTCTAGACTTTTAGTGCTGCAGATGGTGTAGCTTCACTTTTCCATTATTGGAAACTTTGGAGGCCAGGCAATTTGCACTATACCTAGCGCTAGATGTTGTGATACTGATAACAGTGCAGCCCTCAGCCCACAGCTCAGCAAGTAGTCATGTGAAAGTCACTGGACATTAGGATGTCTCCAGTTCTGAAATTCGGGCTTCAGTCTAGACATGCGTTAGACTCTCTGAGATCACGTTGACACCTCACCTTGGGCGTTTCAAACAGCTTTTGCATGTGGCACTCTGTACTGGTCTTCGCTCTCTCCCTCTCGAAATACTTGTATATGCTGAAGATATGATCTTGCCATTATACAGTTTTCACAGAACATAGTTATTCCGCATCAGTGATGTTATGAGCATGCGCATAGCACAGACTGCCCAAGTACGAAGGTCACTGAGCGGGAAAAAAGCGATGCCACCCAAACGCAAAGCCGCCAGCAAGAAGGTGGAAGCCACAGACTCTGAGGACGAGCCGAAGAGCAAGAGAGTATGCGCGGCTCCAAGACCCAGGGCCAAGAAGAGTCGGGCGTACAAGATGCCGCCACCCCTGCCCTCTGGGCAGGTCCTGACCGACGTGACTGGCAAACACAGCTGGACCCTGGGGCGGTCGGTGGGGAAGGGCGGGTTCGGAGAGATCTACCGAGCCTCTCCCAGCGGCAGTAGAAAGAGCCTGCAGCACGTCATCAAAATAGTATGTCCAACAGTGGAGAACTTGTGGCGTGCAAAACCAAACATGTTGATGTGCCCATGGGGTGGAAATATGAATCCCAGTGCATAGTAGATATGGCCCTTTTTGTTGTTATATACCAGTGTACACAATATGTACCCTTCAGGAGCCACTTGAGAACGGTCCGCTGTTCACAGAGATAGCGTTCTACTGCAGAGTGGCCAAGGAGGACATGAGTGAGTTGTGAGACACCATCATTAGACCATGTATCCCAACCTCTGGTTCCCCAGTCTCCAGCTGGGTGTCGTCACACAAACTGGCCTACCTGCCCATCCCGCAGTACATGGCCCAGGGCCGGCACTGCCACGCTGGCCTGGACTACAGGTTCCTGGTCATGGACTGCTTCGGAGACGATGTGGAGAAGAAGTTCAACCAGTGTGGCCGCAGGTTTGGCAGCAAGACCGTCTGTCATCTGGCCATCAGGATTGTAAGTTCATGATCTGTATCTTTTGTGTAACTCTAAACTTTGTAGTGCTGCAGATCGTGTATGTAGCTTCACTTATCCATTATTCTGTTGGCTAGTGCATTATACCGCATAGTTGCCACATCAACACGGCTTGGCTCCATGTGTACCTCATGCTATAGTCAGTGATATATAACCATGCAAAGAATGTATCTCCAGCTGGAAGCTCTGGAGTACCTGCACACGTCAGAGTATGCTCATGGAGATATCAAAGGTTCAAACCTTCCCACCGGCCTCCACCCATCCAAACAACACCAGGTGTGTATACAGCTATACAGCCTTTCTGCTACGTATTATTTTGCCTACCGTCTCCACTGAACTTTGTATCATTACATCGTCATGGAACAAGTTGACATAAGGCTAAGTTTTGCAGTTTTGTAGGAATCACAAAAGAGTGTGCCATGCACAATGAGACCATTAGTGTGAGGCAAATACACGTAAAGGCCACAGATTCTCTACTGCAGGTGTACCTGGTAGACTACGGGCTGGCCTATCGCTACAGACCAGATGGACAACACAAGGAGTACAAGGAGGATCCCCGCAGCCAGCACGACAGGACTCTTGCATTTACCAGCATCGATGCCCACAAGGGAGTCAGTGAGTTCAGCTATACCACTATGAATCACTGCGTTGTAGTGCCTAGCATCTAGAATGATCATGGGTGGGGATATCATATTAAATGTCTTATGATATGTGCAAGTACACGATAGTGGAAAAATCTGGAGGGAGAATGTTATATTCGTGTGAGGACCTTTTGTATCATATTACAAGCAAACTGTGAGTTTGAAAATTATCTGCCACCAAATTGCAGCCTTGAAAGTTGCTCTGTGTGTGTACTGTATATATAGTGTTTTTTTTTGGTCGGGGCACCCAAATTATCCGTCTTTTTGTTCCTACATTTTCAAGAGCAAATATTAAATGTTGTGCATCCTGGTGAATGTGCACGTGCGAACGTATATTAGGCTACGAAATCAAATTCACCTGTACGTAATAACCCCGCTATACGTAGGTTACGTGGTGGTATGTGGTGCGTGTGGTGTGTGCAGGTCCATCGGCGAGAGGAGATCTTGAGATCCTGGCCTACTGCCTCCTCCAGTGGTGGTCTGGCTGCCTGCCCTGGGACAGCCTCGTGGAAAAGGAGGACAAGGACAGTGTGGCACGGATGAAGATCAGGTTTTCTTTGTTCTTTGTAAAGAGTATCTTCCAGTTTCAAGTGATGCCACACTGTTTAACTGCCCTAACATCCGAAATACAAATATTCTGTGTCTGTAACTATAGCACATGACATAGCCCCCACTAAACTTGTTCGATTTTGTGTGGCAGGCAATAATAGTGTTTTCATGTGTTCACATGTGTAGAGCTGTTTTACAAAGGTACTCCATGGTTGCCTGGATCTCTGTAGGTACAAGACAGATGTGGGTGGTATCATGAAGGCATGTTTCAAGTCCAGCAGTCCTCCAGACAGCCTCCGTGACTTCCTGACCTACGTCCATGGTCTGGACTACACGACAACTCCAGACTACAGCAAATGCATGCAGATGTTTGTCAGGGAACTCAGTTGTCTGGGTCTACGAGACGACGGGAAGGACCTGGACTGGACTGCCGCCACCTCAAAAGTCAGTATTTCAAGCACGCACTATATGCATGGGGATCAATAGTTAACCAGGGTTACAGATACAAGACACCTAGTTGAACCTACAAACAAGGGACACTTTGGAGGACATCACTTTTAAAGAGGTTGTCCTTATCTTTTGATATTAATTTTATTTACTCTTATAGTGGTTTAAAACTATTAGATTGCGGTGAATGTACAGTTTCGTTGCTTCCTGCTTGCGCATGTTTAAGACATCATTGGATGCTCTGTGTTGCACCGCTTCTCTGCAAAGTGTGGCCCGTTCTTTGGCTGTAGTGGGTATAGTGTCTAAGTCTGCTTTCAGAGGAAAATATCACATCATTCACAAGTGTGTACATGCTGATAGGCTCCCAAACCAAAAAACACTGCCATAATATCTGTATCTGCTTCCCTCCAATCCCAGAGTAAGACTGCTGTGGTGGCAGAAGAGTGTGATGATGATGATGAAGGTGTCAGTTCACCACCGCCCAAAAAGAAACGAGGGACAAAACGTGGCGAGAAGACTGCCACGGCTGCTGGCAAGCCGGAGAAGAAAGCTCCAGTCAAGAGAGGAAAAAAGGGAGCCTCACCAGAGCCTGCTGCAGCAGTGGCGTCTGAAGATGATGATGACGGTCCAGCTGAGGAGGAGCCTGAGACCTCCAGGAAGAGAGGTCCCACGGGGAAGGGGAGGAAGAGAAAGTCTCCACGGTCCAGGCAACAACAGGTTGCAGCCGCTGTCTCGATACGGCCAGCCCGACAGGCGTCTGGCGTCATCCCTCAAGCCTCATACCCTGCAGCTCTGGGCTATGTGGGCAACGGAGAGCCGGAGGACCTGGAGCCCAGCACCAAGAGACCCAGACAGCAGAGGTCTCGAGCTGCCACTGCGAAAAAGTCTCCTCTCAAACCAAAGGTACGTAATTTGTTTGTGTCAATTTTGTGTAAAGATCCTCGTATCACCCTTCCTCCCACATTCCTGTCACTGTCTTCCTTGCAACATACAGACTGCAACTAGAGCAAAAAAGAAGGCACTTTCTCGTGAGGACAGAACTTGATTTGCAATGTACTAGCTATGTATATATTTGACTACGCACATTAACGTTGTATATATGCACATTAACATTGTACTCTGTGAATTATTGTCAAACACGAGTCAATAAGCAGAGGTGGCCATGACGTGACGTGTGCAATGGTGTAGTTTATTGTTTGTGTGTGCTAAGTTCTCGCTGTGGAATTCTAATATAAGTACCTACATTACTGTGTACACATGTGTATGTGTGTGTATTAACAGTGTTCAAGTATATTATATACTACGTGACTGTGTATAGCTAACGTCATGTTCTTTATATGG